TGTTTGTAAAAGGTGCCAACGTGGAATCATAATAATGCATGAAGTTAAGGAGAAGTCGAAATACCACTTGACTTAGGGTTCATGTCGTAGAGAATGAGCGACGGTGAACTTAGTGAAATGGTTGAGAGAGTTAGGTTGGAGAATATATATATATATATTTCTGCAATCCTGTTCAACGAATTTTACATATCTTACTGTGGCATTTGATTATGATATGTTAATTAATAATTTTAAAGAAGGAGGGTCTACTACTTTCTTGGGAAATATCACGTGTTGTAAGCTTAAATCACCAATCACATGAGACTGTAAAAAGGCAAAAGAGGGCACGATTAGAGTGCATCTGGAAAACACCTATAGTTAACTAGTTCACAATCAGCCCCTTTCATTCTTCCAGATCTCTTAATTCTCTGGAAAGATAGAGTAATATAGATCTGCTGATAAATTCAGTGGTATAACGATGAAGATCCTTCTCGTTACCCAATATATGAATATGCATTTCTGACAATCATTGGATAACAATGATAGCACCAGCCATTTTTAATAGGTTTTACTGTAGTCGACGTCACTGTTTTTGTGTGCTTTCGCCACGCTGAAAAACTGGATGTATTGGTGGTTTCGTACAAGCAGTGAAATACGCATTCATTCGTCAGAGCCTGACAATCCTCCTCACGTCCAAAAAAAATTATGCTTGGCTCCGACAACCCAAGGGAGCTGAAAGGAGCTTGGCAAAACTACTAATCACCATCCATGGCTAGAAGACTTTCAGACACGGTTCCAAATGATGCCTCCCCTCCATGAAATGGCACCTGAATGATCGTAGATGTCAGCCATGGGACCCGCTGCTTCGGCGCCGAAACTGAGGCATCGCCCAACCCTTGACATGAATTTGAATTTATGAAATGAGAAATTTTCATTTCGCTTTTGTCCAGTTTTTGTTTCTTTGCGAAAACTTAAATGCACGTCGCAACGTTAGGGCAGGCAGCGTTAATTTCGCTTGCGCAAGCTTAATCGTACAGAGCTAATGACAGAGCAATACAAGGCCAATATTAAAAGTTTTATGATCGCAGCGTTTCAGGCCGTTCACGTTGAATCGTTCGAGTAACGACGGATTGCGATCACCGTTCGACCCTCAGTTGGCGGAACAAGACGACCACCGTGGTAGCCACAGGCGTCACACGCTGACAGGATATCGAGACTGAGCCGGGGGGGGGGGCACCAATGGACAACTGTATGTGGAAGTTACGCCTTTACATCAGAATTATCCCTGCCGGAAGACATCGATTTTCAGGGGAACCACTAGCGAGCAGACGGATGGCCGAATGGTCGGATGGCCCGTCGGCCGGACAAATGACCGTACGTACGTGATTCATGACGACTCCTACAACAACGACGACGACGTCGGTCGGTCGGTCGCTCGCCAACAGCAGGAGGAGGCACACGCTACAGTAGCAAACTACGGTCAGTGCGAAGTAGAGAGCTAGACGACAGCGGCTACGGCGGCTTCTGAACTATTGTCATCACGAGACACTGTCCGGCTAGATTATGTGACACGAAAATTAACGACCTTCAACAAATAGCCCGCCGGTCGATAGGCTTCACTTTCGCGGCGGCAACTGGAATCGCCAAGGAAGCAACAATAAATATCCATTTTGATTCACTGTAAAATAATTACGGTCATAATGCGCTGACGTGTGCCTCGCGCCCGCGCGCCAATAGGACATTGATTAGTGGCCGGTCGTTCCGTCGGTGACAGTACAGAGCTGTAGCGATCGAACGTTGATCGTCGCAGGGCATGACTAGGCATGGTTCATCTCCTTAATTCTTTCCGAGGTTCACTTGTGGCTGGTCAGTTCCAGACATGACTGAGGTTGACGGCAAGCGGAGGCAAAACGAAAGGGGCCCAGCCCTCAAGCCGACAATTTACCGGCTCGTGTACATGTCTCGCTCTGTTTGAACAATCGCCAAATTGCGCAAATGTACGGATGCACTTAAGAACTATCGATCTGGCGCGTGATGGATGGCGGCAGTGCCAAGCTACCATCAAAGAACAGAGTTCCGGTTCGTTCGTATGCATCTCGCGTTGGAGGCTTAGCGGTCGGCGGTCGGTGGCAGTGAACCTCAGGATTTGTCCCTCGACCTTGTTTCGACGCCGTAAAACAAAGGCGACGACGGCACGCGTCTCCTAGCTGAATTAATAAGCCGATGTAAATGTCTGATTGACCTCGGTCGTTCGAGCGCATCGGCCAGAAGACACAATGGCCCGTTAGCGACGCAATCTGCTCCTTTTCCTGCTAGTCGTAAGCGTATGCGGCTCAGACCATTTAAACCTCAATAAACCGGCCTTTCACCTATGCCTAATAAACAAATGGCCCGCGGAACATCTGAGGTCACGGCCGGGCCACAGCTGTTCCCATTCCTGAGCCGGAACACAATCGCTGTCTGGTCAGGCGTCCTCGCTTCCGTTTGTCGTCGTCACTCCCCTAGCGCTTTATGTAACGTAACCGCACCTCATCCACGTACCTCTCCGTTTCGTCAGCACAGCTGTGCGACTGCTTCCAAGACACACGCCGAATTGTGCCCTGACCCAAACTGCACTCACCGACGTTCACCTCTGATGGACGAACGTTACGCAAGCACACGCTCATACTCACACGCGTCGTCTCTCGTGAGGGTTGCTTGAAAGCCAGTCATTCATATGGCTTGTATGAGCCGAAAAGCCTAAAGGCTAACAAGAACAGTCAACCGCATCCCGTTTACTGATGGCAGAACCTCTACTTAAAACAAAGCCCTTTTGGAGTAAAACCTTAAACACGCCTTACTTCAGATTCACTAACTGTACGTTACTCACTTTAACAATCGATCGATCAGTGTAACATTAAAACAAGACTGACCTCGCCTTAGTATGGTATAATACAGTTCTTCATTCATTTGATACATAGCATACGCTTTGCTCGAGCTACACCGTCGCGCTTGTACAGGAACGCGCGTTGATTTATCGGTAACTCAGAGGTAAGGCATTGCGAGTGCTCAAACGCCATAATGCCATGACCTGCCTGTATTGTAAATGGTCTCCATTGGCCTCTAGAAGAGTAAGAGCTACGCGAAGTTATAGTGAAAATATTTTATTGCCTCATAATGGTCACTTTCGCGCAGGTTTTATTTTCTGTACCTGCATTATGTTCATGCCTCGCACCATTTCATCGATTTGTCCTCAGCTAATCTCTTAATCTGGACTGTCTGTCAAAACAAGTAAGTCAGATGCGCAGGTCTCATCATCTGCGGAATTTATGGAATAGAGTTCTTTGCAGTTTTATTACTGCGGATTTCCAGTTACACAGGCAATGAATCTGCTTCATCACGAAAGTTTCAAGTATACACTCAGAGAGTCTGTACAATTTTCATCAGATCCTCCATATTGCCTAAGTAACAGCTGTCTCGACCAAGTTACAACTTCTAGTACTACACCAGAGTTAAACTTTGCTTATCTCTTAATTCTATGAAGCGACAATAACAAATCATATTAATATAGTAAGTTTTCATATTCAGCTTGAAGGACATACTTCAAGGGAAGTCAGATAGCTGAAGAACCTTTGCACTCCAAAAATAGATTTATGTAAAAAGGCAGCTATTGCCTCGAATGAGTCTTTCACTCTGACTTTGATCCACTGTTTGCCTAGAGACGGTGCTTTATCTAAGACCAATATAATGGGGTGAGTAGCAGGAGCCTCAAATGCAAAATGCAACTATGGAAGAAGAAGGAAAAGGTAGTGAGATGAAACCCAGCATCATGAAGGACTTATTTATCGCGTGAAATTCAAGCCAACTGA